CTTTAAATGTTTTTCAAATCGTTACTTTAAAAACAAGATCAAAATAACAACAAACACTTCACTGAATATTGTATTTTTTTAAATCAACGTCAAACTTGATTTGGCCACGACGAGAGATTACAGGTGCGGGAAGTATACAAACAATATCTTCCTTGTGTTTTAAAGCACTAACATCTTCCACAATCGGATATGTGAAAGAGGTAACTGTATCAGCTGACCTTGTTTGTTTTATTTTTCTTACATATTTTACCACAGGCATTTGATTTTCAAATGACAAAATTGTCCCAACAAAATGTTTAACATATTTTTTTGTAGCAAACTTCACTACAAGCCAATCATCTTTCTTCAACTTACTATGATTCCCATCATAAAATATTATTTCGCTTAATCCTAAGGGGATGTTTTCGTATGGATTAAAGTTTTCTTGATCTTCATCTTGTTCTTGTAAACAACTGTCTATAAACTCATCCATATTATTATAATCAGATTCGTCAGTTTCAACAGTCTCAACCGGTATTTCGTTTTCAGAGCTTTCCGTATCACTAGACAATAATCGTTTCCTATTTCTTATTACATTTCTAGATATTTGCTTCTGCTGCCTTTTGTTTTCTTCATATTTTTTAGAATATTTCTCTTTTATTATTTTGCTACTGTTTCTAATTTTTAGTTTCTTTTCTTTTACGAGTTTACTTTCTTTAGTCATTTTAATCTTTGGTATTGTTATTTTAGTCTGAAGTATATTTTTTGTAGTTTTATCATATAAATTTTTTTTCATGGTCTCTGTGATCACTTCCGCTCCTAAGGCTACACGCCTTTTTTTTATTTTTGCGTCAAGTCGAGGGGTTTGTTTAACTGTTGCTAAAAGAAGTTCTTCAAAGTTAACTACTTCATTAGAAATTATATTAATTTTTGAATTTTGTGTGTGTAAAGCATTTTTGGATGCTGTTCCACTTTCAACTATAAAATTGTTCGATGTCAGACATGTCGGCAATTCCTCATAGCAGTTTGCTATGAATGTTTGTGCCTGTTCTTGATCTTTCGACACATTCGCCAACAATTGAATACTTTCTAACTCGTCAACTAAAGAAGTGTTTTCAAAATTGAATGGCATGTTATCGTACATTAGGATATTGATAACATTAATGCAATGTTCTTTTAAAGGTACTGGGGTTTGTGTTAACTGAAATTGTAACGGGGGTAAAAACTGTACATCTCTTGGCAAAGAATTTTGTATATTATCTATTGCTGGATTGGACTGAGACTGTTGCTGTGAAGACTGAAAATTGTTTTTTTGTGCTTCTTCCCAGCGTTTGTATGCTCTTGGGTCGTACCGATCAATTGAAACCACCTCAGAGTTAAATGGGAATATTCCTGCTTTTTTAAAGCCGTTCATTATTATTTCGTCTTTGGTGTCATTCCAAATTTCAGCGAAAAGTTCGGAAAATATCTTTTTAGGCACTTTAACACCTGTGTTTTGCCTTTGCCATTCAACTAATTTAGCGTCCCATCTACTTTTAAAGGACTTAAATACAGCCACATCCAAGGGTTGTAGGATATGGGACGTGTGAGGCGGTAATTTTAATATCGTGATATTATTTTGAATAGCTAATTCAACCACATTGAGATCAACATGGCTGCCATGGCCATCATAAACTAGCAGGACTGGTCTTTCCTTTCCAAGCGCCGGGATAAACACCTTTTCTATATAATTATAAAATATTTGAGTATCCATCCACCCTCTTTGACTGGCAGCATAAGACAGCTCGAAATCATATTTGTTTTCAGTTTCAGCTACCCATGAATCCCACACATATTTGCCTTTAAATATAATTAAAGGACTTATTTTCTTAGCATTCGCACTAACAGCCGTTAAGACGGTAATATTTTCTTTGCCAGTACCATGTGTAGTTCGAGAGGATGGAGCTCCCTTCTTTCCAACTATTTTAGTTTTGGAAGGGTCTAAACATACCGATGTTTCATCTAGGTTCCATATTAAATGTGGTCGTTGATTCAAATTTAAATCCTTTAGTGTTGATTCTAAAAGCTTGAAGTATTCATTTATAATAAAAGGATCAGTATTTTTCTTTCTTGAATGTTCAAGAGATTGAGCTTTTTTGAGAGAAAGTCCGTGACGTTTACGAAAATTTGTGAACCAATCGGGTCCTGGAATGTTGTCCTTAAATGGTGTATTTATATTATTCAATCTAACATAACGTTCCACTAGCAAAATGACTTCTTTTCTGGAAAGCCCAAAACCCCATTTTTCTAAAACTTTTAGACCATTGGCTAGTTTAGTTTCTGTTTCATAAGGGAAGACAGGAGGACGACCCAGCGTATAACTTTTAATACCTGTTTTTTTATTCAAGCGATTGTGAAGAGTAGCAATGGGTATATTAAAATGTTTAGCTGCACCGTATAGTGATAATTCCTTTGTTTTTACTTTTTCTATGGCGTTGGCAATATCGTCTTTAGTGTAGGAGGTTGCACGTAGAGACTTCCGGACATAGTTACGTGGCATAGTGTTTCTGAATTGACAAAATGCAATTACTCAATATTGCTTCGGTAGCACGTAGTTCTTAGTATTTATAACGATAATATTTGAAGTTGAACGCTGTCAGCTAATTACTTCGCAATCTTTTTTTTATGGCTGAAACAAAACAACGGTTTTATTAAATAAATATTTCAAAGACGAAATAGAAGTATGTTTGTAATCTTTCACTTATAAAAATAATTTATTTAAACTAGTTATGTGAAAATTTAAAAATGGTTAGCCGCCATTATTTTATTTTGAACAGTTACATAATACCAGGTATAGTTTGAGAACCACTGACTATTAGTATGAAATTTCGAAACGGGGCAAGATTAAAACTTTTACATGTTTTTCTTACCCCGTCAAATATTGGTGGGTAAAGATGGAACATTGTGATAAATTGAAAACTACGACAGATAGCAATATTTAGGACTGATAACACAATTAAGAATTGAAAATAATGAGTTGGTATTCCAATAAAACACTCGTACCTACCTTGTAAGTAAAGTTATAAGACACGGGGCAAGATTGAAACACTCGATTAACTCGCGTAAAAGTCACTGCACAGACATTTGTATTTTTCACACAACCACTCACTTAAAGCGGCAAACGCTGACTGAGGGGTGACACGTAACAAAATGGCGGTCTTAACAATGTTACCAACACAGCAAAAACTGCACTAAATCTGTCGTTATGGAAGGTTTTTTATGTTTCCCCGTTTTTCGTCTTCCCCCCACTCACCCTAGAGCGTTCAATTCATGGATATTGAAGGTGAACACTAGAATGTCCGTGTATTTTAACATTGTACGAATAATAATAATTACCGAGGGTATGGGGGAATAAAAAACATTTTCATTGTTCACGGTTTTATTTTCCATGTTATCAACAAGAAATAAGAGTCAATAATTATAGTAATACTTATATTGTAGGTATAGCTAAAACAGATAAAACATTACACGATCTCGATACCATTCAGAAAAGTATACAATTCTGTATAAATCGTTAGTTACATTTACTCCAAAAATTATCATTATTTTTCATACATTTTTCCGCGCGCAATTCTCCTAATAATATTTCATCACAGATTAATAATGTACTTCTTCGTTTCTTGATTTCACAAAGAAATAAATAGATAGGGCGGAACATGGCCTTGACTATTGCTTACCTACTTCGTATAGCGTCCCAAAATATTATACAGAAGTTTGTGTGCTGACTTGAAAAATGTAATATCAGACTTCACCGGCATTATTTATATCAGATATTTGCGCCGCTCCAAATAAGTTAAAAAATAATTTGATTGCAGTTTTATCTTATTTACATTATTAATTATTTTTTGCGATATGCGTATTATGATTTAATAAATTTTCCTACTTTTTACATGGTTGTATAAATATAAAAACATAACTCATTTTATAATTAAAGTAAAATATTGTACAATATTAATATTTTGGGGAGACAATATTAGCAAACATAACAAAGAACAGCCATATTATAAATAAAAATTGATAAAGAAGTTACTAGCATAATCTCAAAACATTATTTGATAACAGAATAGTTCATAGGTGATGTATCGATAACAAGAAATAACAGTGATAGAGGACATGAGAGGAGCGCACGATAATGTTCATAGAATCTACTTGCATACGATACTGCACTTGTTCATGCGCGATGACTTAAGTACAACAGTCGCGTGCATAAGGCCATCCAACCCTGTGACTTGATACCTTCACTCCAAATAGGTAATAATATAAATCATCTACAATGTTCAAGAATAACCACGTATACTATTGCACACACAGTATAAGATTATGCTAACGCCTTAAAATTAACAGTGTGGTAACTACATGTCGTTAATTTCCTAATATTATTAATATAATTACACTAATCATCTCGCCTATCTACCCCATACACCATACACCAACGTTAAATAGCACCCATGAGAATATCGAACATTTAAAGCAACATCTATACGCATTATTACTATAACTATTTACAATATTTACACACAAGTTGTTCATTAGCATACACAACATCTCACAAGCCAGACTTTATAGTGAGACGAAAATTAATTGATTATGAAATGGCTGCCTTAAAATACACAGTCTCATAAAACGAATATGTTTATAATATTGTTCTTAAATGAGATACATGTTACATAACAATAATCAGTCAAGCTTGGTATTAAGATCTCGTTATTGAGCCGTCTCCAATCAAACGCGTGTGTTATGTGTTTATTTAAAAACAATTTTATATGAACCTACGCCATGAAATAATAACATGAAAATTAATTTAATTGCTACTCATAGCATAAATAATAAACTTGTCTACAGGATTGTAGCGACTGCGTCTTACGAACAATCGCTTTATTCACAATAAAATATAAAGACGTCACTAACATCATTTTACAACAGTTTCATACTTTCAAAAAGTCGAACGTTAAATTACTTTTAACCAAACAAGGTTAATTTGGTTAATTTAGGCCTCAAATCTTTATGTCCGTAAAAGAGAATTAAGTTTTATTTGATCTCTGAGTGGCCTTAGAATTTATCCTAATGTCAGCTAACCAGTACAGTTTCAATCTTGAGCAGTTGCCTCAACTTGTCGGTCACCCGGACGAGCGCCACTTTCGAGGCTCGCACGTTGACTTTCTCTCCGGCGCCGAGCAGTTGGTGGCACTGGGCTCGTTCCAAAAACTCCTGTGTACGAATCTCGCGCAACAACTCTTTTGGTGATCCAGACCCGCAATGGATCTGTTTTAGAAGACTATCCTTTGATTTGATCTGAAAACAAAAACAGTTAGCATATACACAATTTGTATGATGCAGTTTATTCAATAGTAGGTACTCAAAGAGGAAATTTTAAATTTTTACCTGTAATAAATTAGTGATGTCCTGCAACAAACACCACAAGCCGTCAGCTGGTTGGCCAGCGGGAGTTCTCAGACTGTAGAAGGGCGGCAGTGGAGCCTCAGTGCACTGAATCTCGATCATAGAGTCCGGAGGCGGCGGCGGGGAAGCGGGAGGAGGCGACGAAAGAGGATCGCAGCCCATCTCCTCACGATCTGAAAATGATACGATACTTTTTATTTTCTTATTCAAATAACATTGTTTAAATATTGCAGAGACCGGCAAAGAACATTTTAAGCCAACAAATTAAGTGTGTCAAAAATTTGTCGTACCTATCAGTTCGGTTGGTGGTGGAAACCGCCAAGGTTCAATTGCATTTCCCTGTACGTCGGCAATGTGTAATCTCAATAATGTTGAGGCAAGACCCTCTGTCAGTTCCTCTGGGGTCTGGCCAGAATATGTTCCGAGAAGTGGATCCGCGCCGTATGACAGAAGTAGACGTATGACTTCCACGTGACTATTCTCGCAAGCTTCATGTAAAGGTCTGTAAATCAATTATATAAGACATTAGATAGAATTCTTATAAACTGACAAAATATTGTTTCATATATTGTATTTTATTTGAATTGAAATTGACCTGATTCCTCCCTGAGCAGCCGCTGACACGTTAGCACCGTACTGCAGGAGAAGTCGAGCTATTCTAACATGACCCTTCGCGGCCGCCACATGTAAAGGTGTGAAGCCTGCGTTATCTTTGGCTGAAGGATCCGACTCCAACTTCTCCAAACAATACGCGACACAATCCTGTTAATGGAATAAAATCGTTAGTAGGTACCTAGTTGTCTAAATTAGTACAATATATATATACTACAGTCCATGTGTACAAGATACTTACCGTGTATCCAAGTCTAGCAGCTCTATGGAGATGCGTTTCTCCAATGCTCTTGTTAATGAACCAGCCTTTGATTTCTTTTTGGATGTCATGAACTGATTCTGGACTGGGCTTAGCAGCAGGTCTCCGTATTTTTGTGGCCGCTTCTTCTCTGCGTATAATCTTCTTCTTCTTTCTGATATAATCAAATCCCGAACTAAATTTTCTCCTACCAAAAAGGCGCTTCAGTCGTCTTTTGGTATTCACGCCTTCAGTTGGAGCTAGAGAACTACCTTCTACTTTTGATTTGTCTTTATCTTCTGGAGTAGCATTTTCGTTTTTATGTTTATTTGCTGATATTTCTTTAGTTCTCTTGTGATTCAATGATTTCATTATGCTATTTCTTTTCTTTAAACGCATAAGTCGACCCTTAGCATCGTTCCTTTTCAATGATTTTGTGCTTCTAAGCCCATCCCTGATTGAACTAGATCTTCGTTTCAGTTTATCTTTGACAATCTTCCTAGGTTTAAACTTAGGTTTGGATTCTGGTTCTTTTTTAATCTCAGTAACTTTTATCTCCTTTTCTTCCGGAACTTCTTCTTCTTCTCGGCAAGATGTTGGAGGCGCTGAAGCAGGTCGTTCATCACCAAATACTTCTTTAATTGTAGCTCTTTGTTTAAGCACGCGACTTTCAGTTCTTGTCCTTGATTTGAGAACTACTGGGGCGAACTCTTCGGTCGCTCCTATCAGACCATCCGTGTCTTTAATAAATGAATTTCTGAAAGCAGTTACAGTTTCTTTACGGAATGCTCCCAAATAAAAAATATCCTCCATCAGTTTTTCTTTTTTAACATTGTAACTGCCTTTATTTCCGTTTTTTATGAGGCCTAAGCTAGGTGTTGGTAGCAATTCACTCGATGTTTTCTTAGGAATCATTTTAGGTGTTTTGTCATCTTTGTCTTTACCTTTTTTCTCCTTTCTGCTCTCCTCTTTTTTCCCGCATTTTTGTATTAGAACATCAACAATCGAGTTGCTTTTCTTTTTATTAATTTTAGAAGACAATACCGTCGAAGTAGATGCTTCAGAATCATAATGTAACTTATTTGGTGTAGAATAACTAGAATTAGAATCTAGATCACTATCAAGGGTGAGCTTATCAGGACGCCTCGCATACAAATCGTCAGTAGCAGCCGAAGGTGCTGAAGATGGAGCTGGCGAAAGAGGTGCCGGGTCCAAATCAGGCAGAGAGGTCGAACCTCTGGTAAAGATTGCACCTGATCCTCTTACAAACGGCCCACCCGACCGGCCTCGTGGTATTGCAATAAGTCTAGTGGGCATACGTAGAGAACGTTTATATTTATATAATTCCTCTTCCCAGCCCGGGTGAAAATATGAACCATCTCCGAATGTCGGTTTTCGTACAGGTGTTGAACTATTACTTGCACTACTGCTGTCTTGTTTTTTTACAGGCGATGATTTCACAGGAGTCTTTGAATTATGGGTAATTTTATTTTCTTCAGTCTTTGTATTTTTACGCATACGAAGTCTTCTTGCCACACTGAGATCATCGTCGTCACTATCTGAACTTGAATTAATCTCTTGCTTCTCATTTTTATCAGTTGATAACTTTGATTTCGTCCTTGACATTTGTCTACCTAGTTTACCTTTGCCTTGTTTTTCCTCCTTTTCCTTTGCTGTTGTAGAATCCAGCGATTTTCTTGTATTTTTATTTACGTCTACATCACAACACTCGAGCTTAACATACGCTGACTTCTCTGACAAGTCTTTTAATAGCTGGTATTTAAGTCGATCACTTTGCTCCTTTTCTTTCAGAATTTTGCTCTTAATAAGTGGTTCGTCATCATCCGTGGATTCACATTCTTCTTTTATCACAGTTTTAATAGGTATCTTTTCTTTGAGTTCTTTTTTAGAAGGAGAGTTATCTGATTTTTCGATTTTCACCTTCGTTTTTGTTTTACTCTTAGTTGATTTATCATCTTTTGACTTTTCATTCTTTTTATCATTTTTGCCTTTTTCTTTGTTGGATTGCTTATCTATTACAACGGCTTCTGCCACAGGCATTTCCATTTCACTATTGATGTCATCTTCATCGATGGGTTCTTGTTTTATAACTGCAGCTGGTATAAACTCTTCTGTTGATGGTGAAGGTTCTACTATCGCATGCGTGATGTCTCTTTCAGTAGTCTCTTCTACAGGTTTTAATGTCTGATCTTCTAATGTATTGCTAATTGTTGGCGTCTTGACATCTAATGAAGAAGAAGGTTCAACAGAATCGATGCTTAGAGATTTTTCAATTTTACTCTCATTATCGTTATCGTAGGTATCAATACGTTTTCTGTGAATTTTCTTTTTATGGCAACCAGTTTTTAACTGCTCCATAAAACTATCACAAGCACTCGCCCAATCTATGTCTTCAACAGAAGTTTCAGTGGCTTCATTTATGCCAACAGGTTCTAAACTCTCTAAAATATTTTCAGTTTTAATAGATATTACCGCATCTTTTTCAATTTCTTCAATGTTCATTGGCTCTGCTTTAACTTCTGTAATTATTGTTGCCGGTGGCTCTTCATTTTTAATTACAGACTCTAATCTTAAATTGTCTTCCCTTATCTGATTAAACAAATGAGTCTTTCTAGGCAGCAATTTCAATTTTTCATTTTCTGGCGGTGTAACCTGTTTTGTTTCAACTTTAGTAATTGCCTCTTGTGATGGCGGCATTACTTTTAGTTCTGCTTTTGTTCTTATCCTAGAAGCTACATCATTTTCAGGTGATATTGGCTTTGGATCTGGACTATTATTAAAATCTGAGTCACGAGGCAGAGAATCTACGGCTTTAGGCATTTGAATATGATGATGCAGGTTCGGTGTTATGTGGTTAGAACGGACTTTAGTTAAATTTTTAGATGCCATGTCTATTTCATTGTCTTTAGTAAGGTCTGTTATTTCAATAACAGAATCTTCTGCATCGTCTATTACTATGAGGTCGGGAACTTGCTTGGCTTGTCTAGGTGGCTCTACGAAACCTGTATGTTTCGTTTCTAAACTATTTCTCAAAATACTTAGCACCCTTTTGTCGGCAGGTATACCACTGGAGGGATCAAAATGATGCGTATGAATATCTCTATGGCTCGGAATTTTTTGTATAACGTGATGACGGCTATTAACAGACGGATTTCTATCGTGATAGTGAGCATGGTACTCTCCTGTCTCACGGGTTAGTTCAGGATGGTAAGGGTTATTTGAGTATCTGCGGTTTGCATGTATATGGTGATCTCGATACACACCAGTAATAGCTGGTCGTTTTTGTTCATTTTGATAAGTTTCTATCTGTTGCTTATATCTGCTATAACTGTATACTGGCTGTTTCATGAGTTCTCGTTGTTCACGAGCAGTCTGGTTGAGATGGTCTATCCGGCTGTCTGCTGTCCAGGTTTCATAGCGAACAATTTTCTCCGGAATGTTACTAACAATTGCATCTGTAGGACGTTTCCTCTCTTCTATAATAAAGTGTCGGTCATCACGCACTCTATTTGGTTGGTTACTGACAGATCGTGTAAGATCTATTTTAGGAACGTAATCTGGCCTAACTGGAACGACTCTCTCTGGGTAGGTATGGGGAGATTCGACGGGATAGGCTTCCGCAACTGGTCGACGTGGTTCATAAGAGCCGTTATAACGTAAAGATGGAGGTGCAGGTTGTGACGGACTCGCATACCCATGAGTAGTACTTCTTTCCCCATATTGAGTAAAATTTGGAGCAAAATCAACTTTGTGAGATGCTACATTATAGCTCGTGGTAGGCAAATGAGCATGGATTCTGCTGGACGACGAGGGCCGGTGAGGTAGAGCAATCATTTTATTGTCTGCAGCCGAATCAACAACATCGTCTTGAGTCGTTGAGGAGTCTGCTGAATTTTTTACAGTTTTTACCGATAAATCTAATGGCGACTCTCGCTTCTGTTTACTTTGAGTGACCTGAGCGACTGCAGCAGGTGGTTCTTGTTTTTGTTTGGTTTGATTCATTTGATTTACAAGAGAGGTAACCGATACAGTCATGCGTGCTTGATTAGGATAACCGGGTTTTACTGCTGATCGCGCAGGGGAAGTTTGCACCGGATGCGTAGGAGCATACTCGTAACTAGTCTTGGGTGCCGCTGCTTGACGATAAACCGTTCTTGGTGGAGTTGAGTTTTGAACAATTGGAACAGGAGCACTAGATGGGTACCGTGATGTTGATGTTGACGGTGTTGGATAGTGGTATCCACCCCTAGTGTCTACAGATCTATTCATAGCCGGGTAGTCAGCAGCGCGCGGTGGCAACCGAGCAGCATCATGTGGGTGCGGTGGGATTGGCACTGGCGACCGTTCCGGCCTAGGTGAGTAGTGTGCGCTCAAAACTTCCATTGGAGCATGCGGTTTATATTGAACTTGATGGTGTGTGTCTACGCGGTGACTTTGAACTGGTTGCGCGACCGGTGCAGGCCGATAGCTCGGGTATGCTTGCTGATGATCATACTTCCGCTGTGGAAGCACAGGATGCCTCTCATAATGTGTTGCAGTCCGGCCGTAAGGCGAAGGCTCGCGACGTTGTTGAAGAGATGCATATTGCATTTGTGCTGATCTGCTATCAGCGGAATGCCTCTGTGCCGGAGGCACTGGCTGCGGATGATGTATAGGTGGTACGCGATCGTTAGGTGGCGGCGGCGGTTGTGCAGGTGGCATTTGATATCGCTGTGTGGGTGGACTTTGCGCAGCTACATCGCGTAATCTTGACGTCGCGTGTTGCGGCATCGACACCGATAACCTTGCGTAAGTTTGTGGGCTTTGACGAGAATGTGATGAAGGCTGAGGCGAAGCAACTTGCCCATGAGAAGTTCTGTTTGCTTCTGACATATTTGGATCGTAATGGTACCGCCCATACTGCTCTGGTGGTCTAGACGTAGGATACGGGTCTGGTGGTCGACCTGGTGCATAGTGGTCCGGTTGTCGTGTAGTCGGTGTTTGGACACGATGCACAGGAGGACGGTATTGTGCAGGGGGTTCCAGCTGTGATTCTGGAGCTGTAGGAGGCTGCAGAGGCGCAGCGGAGGGTGGTCTCGCAGGGGACGGACAGGGCGCTGCGGGAGCTGGTGCAGGAGAGGGGAGTGTCCGCGGTGGCTTGCGGATTATATGCGATGGAGGTGAAAGGGTACCCACAGCTTCTTCGTCATCCTCTATCTCAGGTTGCTCACGTCGCTTCTCTGCCGCCTCGCGCATTACAGTAGCCTTATGGATAATATGCGGTTCAGGCTCAATAGGTTCCGAGGGTGGCCTCGGAGGAGCTGCGATGGGCGTGGAGCTCGGGACGGATGGTGGGGCTGCTGCAGCAGAGGGTGGACGTGACGAGGGCGCCGGAGCCCCGGATAGTGCAGGAGCTCCTTCTTCTGGCGCTGGAGCAGTCTGTGGCCACAGAGATTGGTTGGACCCGTCCGCTGGTGCTTGCTTCGGGACCCCCATAAAGTACTGGCGCGTCCCTTCCAGTACATTATTAAAAGACACGTCCATACTCCGTCTCCTCTTGATAGTACCTGAAAAAAAAAATGGTCAAATCATATTATCTATTTACAAAAAGTGATTACTCAAAATTTTCACAAATATGAGATTTAAATAACTATTTGTTAGTAGAATCACGAAACGTTAATAAAAGCTATATTCATCAATCATTGCTATGAGCGAATAAATGCCGATATCGGTATTGAACGCCCGACTTGTCGAAGGTGCGTGGTTGGGTCGTTACCCGGCGGCTGCCCTTGAGCGTACTTCGCCCCCGCACACACACGCACCACAACCTATGTTTATATAGATTCAATATAATACACACACTGGCAACTTCCGCATGAGTATTTCGCCTAAAGTTAACTGACCTTCATTCGATTGAATGTCAAAAACCTCGAGTAATTAATTAGCGATTCTCTTTTGAGGCCACATTTCTTGACAAACCAGTAACAATTTGTGTTTATCACATGCTTCATTTTTAAGATAATACCTACTATAATATTATTTTTATTGTGTACCTAAGTAAATGAAGAAACATGCGAAGCCCGTTAGCATTCCTCTGACCCTAGAGCCTAATTATGGACGAGGTGTTCAGAGCCGGGCCACAATAATGTTGAAAATATTCTTCGTTTTTAAAGTCTTTCCTTGATAAAAAGTTGTTAATATCTGTCTGTAATTGTAATTCTAATTAATTAATTTATTGAAGTAAGAAATGTTTATGAGCGGGCTAGTGGAATACTCATTAATGTTATCTGTTTAATATACATACACGTATCAGGATAAAAATAGGTAATTACTAAGTAACTACGTACTAACTAACACATAATTCCCTTTCTTCTTTCCTTTTAAGTTCTCAGTAACATTAGGTGATGTTCAGGGGAAAAACAAAATTAATAGAACATAACAAATCTTACTCAACGTACATAATATAGACATAACGTCAATAGAAGATTTTATTTAAAAAAGAAAGCATTAATCTCGTCTATTTGAGAAAAATAAACAAAGAGGTAATATTATTGTTAGTAAACATCCTGAAAGTAAGGACCGGGTATTATTTTTTTTAATCCACCTTTAGGTACGAGCGAAAGGTTCCAGGTTTGTCTCGAAATATGCGAGTTCTGAGGCTTATATATAGAGAAACGTATAAAGTATTGAACCTTAATTAACAATTATTATAGGTATATATTCATCGTGTTAGAAATTGGTGTCATTAACTCTAACCCCAGTTCAATGACAGTGTTTGTCTATGATATTGTATCTAGGCGTATCCGAACAAATATTTGTAAAGCTTCCCGGACGGAAGCTGGTCTCCAAGCAACGTAGCTCGATCGATTGCATTCGGACCCTGGCAACACTGACGGAAGGGTACCGAGTTCCTGACTATCTAACGGTTAATAGTGCATCTGCATGACAAAGGAAATTGATAGATGAAATAATATTTTTTTATTTTGAAATGAAATAAAATATGTATAAATGTTCTATTTTCGATTTAAGCAACGGACTTTAACGAAAAGAAGGAATTTGAATTAAGTAAGTAATAATATTTTGGCGGGGGTTTTATTTAGTTGTTTGTATTTATGATCACTTAAATACTAATTTCAAAGCAACGTTAGAATGTTATACTATTATTAACCGACTACAATAGAAAACTAGAATCGCCCTCCTAGTTTAAGTGCACTAACAGTGAATGAATTTCGATGGAATTTTGTCATCATGATTTGATTGAACGATTCATATAACTATGTACCTATTACTTTTTATCGCGGTAAATGTGGTCAAAAATCACAAAGACCTGGGAGGAGAACCGTCGATAATAAAAACGTCGTTAACAAAAAGGAGATGAATGATCTGGTTATTATTATACCAGACTTCTAAATCCAGACTCAGTCTGTCTATGTTAAAAATTCCAAGTACATATTTACCGAAAGACCAATCAATCCCTACTCCATTTACGATTTCGTGAAAGGTCAATGTCACCTACCCGACCGTCTGTAAGATACGGGGTTAACGACCCCGCGACGCACGTTATTTACCTATCACACGTAGATAGTATCTATGTGCTATAGACGTCAGTGTTGTCGTTGAAAATAATAACCATAGATAACAAAATTCTTGAGACACTCGCGACAAAATATTTCATTTTCGTTGAAAACATTTGTCAATTTCAATTACCCCTTTTGAAACCCGCTATCTATAGATAAGTTAGTCTGTAACGCTATACTTTCTTTGTTATCTCTGTTTTTAACTGATAAGGGTTCATAATAAATAATATGACACAGATAATAGAAAATATTAGAGATAGTTCGAAAAATATTGTTTACGATGTTAATTGTCTACACAACATATTCGTTTTGAGAGAAATATGTGGAATCTAGTGACAAAAGGTTTTACTATGTAAAAGTGGTATTGTATGTTTTGCATTTCAGCGTCATCTGCTTACTTGGTGGATACGGTATAAAAAATAAAGCTCGATGACTTAAAGGCAATACTAATACTTCATCAATATTCATTTGAATTTAAAAATAGATCAACTTCAACATCGAATATTCACATTAAATTCAAATTCGAATAAAACCCGTAAATACCTACGTAAGTCTCAAGTTTTGAATATCTTAGCAATATTAACTGCTTTAATTTTACGTCTAACTTTGATTCAGTGCGTAATTATAAACTTAAAAGTCGTGGCGTAAGTTAAAACCGCGTTGTTTTAAGTGAAATAATTGCATGTGTGCATCGAAGCGTTGCAAGATGCAATTACGCGTGGTGCACTTATGTGGATTCCGTTATGAGAATGCTACACAGTAATATCTGTCTACTTACCTATGTAATAGAAAGATACCCACAGGAATATATATTGAGCCCTCGTATTAATAATATTATTATCTATTTGCAAATGATAGTTACTTTTACTTATCGTACAGTGACATTTTGTTAGTGATATTTTATTCTTTCTTTTTTTAAAAAATTCCGTTGTCCCACACTAGGATCCTCTCCCGTGTCGTGGGTACGTTTACAAACATACAAGTTCACATACACATGACATCGAGACCCGGAGAAACAATCTGTGGATCACACAAAGAGTTGTTCCGTGCGGGAATCGAAACCGCGACACGTTGCGTGGCAGTCAGTTGCCCACCTACCGCGCCAACCGTGAAGTGAAGTCAAAGATTATTTAGGTTTTTAGATTGTAAATAGATGGTGATGAGTAGAAAAAGTGTAGACTATGCTACTTGTAATTGCAAATTGACTTCAATTTAATGTAGACTGAATTAATGCAGACATAACACTCATAATGAACTAACCGATCCTCGGCAGGATTCATAGCAGTTTTGTACCTAATAAAATAAGATCGAAAAACATGAACGTCCTTAATTTAGTTTTAAGAATATAATGCATAATAATTTGTACAAGACTACTCGTAAGTCGAGTTTATTGCGTTGATTATATTCTATTTATATCAGCCGGAAAAAATGTCTACAGGACAATGAACTCGGAAAACAGATCTAGAGAATCTAGGTAGAATAAAATATTAAATAATATTATTTGAATAAAACATTGTTAGCGGTAAATTGGTATCCTATACTTACATTACTACTTAGGTATATTTTAATCGTAACTATTACCGTACCGATTATCCAACACAAAAACATTTAAGCCAAAGATACACTAGGGGACAATCAGTGTCCTGTGACACGTCGCCAGTGACGTTGGGTGGAGTAGCGCGAGGTTGCTTGCCAGACTTTGGTCGACATGTCTGGCAACATCAACGTCACTGTGGATATAAGTTGCTCGTTGTCACCGTATATATATATTTATGTCAGGCGACATCGGGCGGCTTCGCTCGACATGTCGCCGATACATGGCTTGGGACATTAATTGTCCACTAGTGTTTCCTTGGCTTTATTCGGTTCTGACAAGTAGCTACGGATATAAGTACGTTGATACAAACAAATAAAGAAACTCTTCGGTTTTATACATATGTAAGTAGGTATAATAGTAAGTACAAATAAGTGCCTAAATAATTATAAGTATAAGATTATTATAATAATACTTACGTGGTAAAACAGCTACCCTGCTTGATGAGAGTGGTAACTCCTAGGCGCGCTCATGACTTCGGTTTAGCTTCCAGTGAGACCTGTAATAAAGGAAACAGGCCTTTAATTACCTGAATATTGGTACAATTGATCAGTGTCGTCATAATTAAGTAGGTACTTATAAGTCTATAAGTATTTCCCATTATCTCGTTCAGCTATTCATCGACAATTTCAAGGTCAACTTAAGAACAAACATTACATAACTGGTCGTAGAATGATTACGTCACTTTACAACAATCGTGTTATTTTATATTGAATAGTTGACACGAGTACACTGCTTGAACATATCTACACTGTCGCCATAAGTGGAGGAAATGGGGTAATAAATAAACTGTTATATCTACATATTCCATTATTTATTATAAATAAGTAGGTATGTAGATAGATATGTATATTAATTATCACATTTCAAAATGCGGATAAATCCTGACGCCAGAAGCCTGTGTACAAGCCGGGCACGCCAATGATAATATGTTAAAAAGTTTAGTATATTTATGGCGCACACGCACAAATCTCCGTAAAGAAAGTACCTAGTTTTCTACCTAATAGTTTTCATTTTCCCACGTTCTCATTCGCACGAATAAAATTCCTATAAAATATGAACAGTAAGTTTAATTTATAAATATATTATATATCTTCTTTTGGACTTCGCTACAGTTCGATAAAAATAAAAACACTTGTATTAACATACAATTCAATAAACACTACAAACTAATACTAATAGGGTAGACGACTAATTTTTATTTTAATGTCCGTCTGGTAGATTATTTTAAATCATTAGACACGTATTTTTTATTTTCTTACAGAAACGAATACTTTCGACGATATATTGATTTGAAATGTCGCGTGACGTCACTTCTCAGTACATTTTATACTAAGAAATGACGTTTTAGCCCCCACTCCTAAACTTTGATTCGTTTTATCTAATTATTGTTTTATTATACGACAAAAGAAAAAAATACGTGTCTAATATTTTTTAATTACCTAACTTATGGACTAATTATATTTTTAATTTTTATACCTTGTCATCATCCCCATTATTATCTACTACCTTGTGTTTCTGTTTACCAAACTTAATACTATATTGACAAAATATGTTCTGAGAAAATAGCCCATAATTAGACATGTCATGCCTATACGTGCAAAATTATGTGCTATATTATGGTCTAACAAACACCTCTAACAATTTGTTAAATAGTGTTCGCAGAACAAAAACTTATACCCAGGTTTAGGCTTTAGCTATGTCATACATTGTAGTACTTAGGTTTAATTTGTATTGTATACGATCATGGAGCTGACGTTTCCTTTCAGGTAAATTTAGGAGAAAAGCCCTATATTTAAAGTTATATAATAAAGACATATTTCGCACTTATAATACGAAAACTAGATGCGATAAGTAAGTGATGTTCTTCAAAATACACGAGCGGTGGCGCTCAATAACTTGTAGCGCGTAAAATCTAGTAAATTATCATTGCGAGCGATAGATAAGATGTTCCATAAACACATATTAGTAACATTATCAATAGTTTACAAATATACGTCACACACTGATAGGTAGGTAAGTATTGCACCCAATGGACATTGACCCACATCCAACATCCGTTGACAAACGATTCAGCACATCATGCGAATTGACTTTTAAATCGATTTTGTTGAATAAAAAAATATACAATAGGCATGTTCTGATTCCGAATGACGTGTTTTGTTTTGTGCACCGTGTGTGAGTACGATTATATCAACAACGCGTAATCATAGGTAATAGAATTACCGTTTTATTATTTATTAAGGGACAAAAACAGTTACATATTAAAATTTTACATCAAAAGTCTTACACTAAACAGCTACCTACAGTGAATATGTAACAAACTTGCACATTAATTGAATTAAATTAAAGTTTACTAAATAATATATAAGTTTACTAAAAGATACAACAAAAAATATTGTGCAAATCTCATAATTAACAAAAAAGTCAGAGTCAGAAACCCCACGGCCTACTTTCCAAATCTATGACTTGAAAGTGAATATATGTCTAGTCCCATGAAATGCGAGTTGTATGTTTCCAGTTCCACTAAGCGAAGAAGCCACGCGCGCGCCTAAATTATGAAATTATACTTAGCAATAGGGAAAGTAAGGAAACAAATACGTATTCAATATTAATCCTTTATTGATCGTCTACTAAGTACTCGTAAACCCTACTTAAAAGGTAGAAGATTAATATTAAAACACCAAACAATCTTACTTCCATCAAACAAGGATAAAAAGGGATATAATTGAAAGGCTTAAAGCCCGGAAGTTTGGCTTAAAACAACGAACGCCCTCTTTTCCAAGGACCCTACAATACTAAAGCGATTATAAACTGAATTTGTAAAAATAAGAAAACATTTTTAAAAGGCGCAATGTCATAAAAATTACAAGTAATAATTGTGTATGAAAAGATTAGTTGACTTGCTCAATAAACACATTACATTGTTTTGAAACTGATTGCATATATTTTTACCTAGTACTTACCTAAGCTACCTACATCGATAAATTCCTAATTAAATTTCACATTATACATTTCTATTTATTCATAATGCTGTTATTTACTTTCTTTGCCTCCGTAATACTTAATTGATATCAGTTGGATTTCAAGAAACACGATTAAATATGTATTACATTCAAATAAGGATTTTGTACTTGTAAGTTTATCAACAGTCTACACACGTCTCTGGTGTTGCTTGAAATTTCAAATTAGAATCTAGTTACTTCGGTTTGTGCGTGTTAAAATATTAATATCATTTCATTTAATTCAATTCAATTGCTCTGTTTGTATTTGCATGATGTGAATGCGTTTAATTAAAGGAACACAGGGCTATTGTAAAGTTTAGTCGATTATATATTTGCATGCAAGTGTATCTTTTGTTGGGAGTCCAAAATTCGAACGAGCTTTAACGGTAATAAACGTACGTAAATGTACGGTAGATTACCCAGGTATATTGAGTGAGTTACGTTATACATTGTAATAGTAAGAGATATAAAATTAGACATAAAATTAGCTATAGCTATCGATTTGCATGTAAGAAAGAAGTATCAAAGTGTAGACGTCAAAAAACAAAATTTTCTTCGAGAAGGCGCGCGTGTGTTTAACACTATTTACGTACGTACACAGACGCGATACAGCTGTGTCGGGTCGTTGCCCTCGCAAGTCGCGCGAAACAAGGTGAATCGTAGTGTCTGTACTTTTTGTCTCCTTCATTATTTAAATAAGACTGCAAAATGTTTTTATACCTAGTGTTTCGCAAATTCTATTAATAATAATGTAGCACTTATGAGATCACTAGCCGAGTGCTACAATGTGGGTGTCATGTAACAACGCAGGTATCGTATGGACATCTGGAAACTAAGTTGATTGTAATTAGACGTCTATCTAACTAATGGTTTCTGTTTGATTCTAAGAATTTCCTTGTTTGATTTATTTATCCATGGCGGTGTTCCAAATAATAGTCTTGATGACTCATAGTGGTTAATGGAATTACTTTCCGACCGATTAGTGGTGGCTAAGAGCTTTTTTTCGGTATTTGAACCCGTAATGAAATCATTTAACTATAAGTGTTTGTGAAAGAATTATATTATTATATTTGCAACAAGGCAAATTGCATGAGTAACAATGATCGTGCGAAATACACATGGGTGCACGTGCACGTGTTGCATTCTTAAATTCCATCAGCAATAAAATGGTCGTCAAATAGAGGCACCAAACTAATTTCGAAGTCAATTAAGCTTCCCCACACCCTGGAGCGTCACGTTCGTGCAGAAATCATACATTCTGCTCCGATGTGCACTCGGCACTCCCCATGGAGCACGGACAAATAATGGCCAAAGGGGATGCGTAGGGGAATGAAAATTATCGGCGTTCCCTCCACCTACGGCCATTTACACAATAGGGTCATGTTTAATTGATTCCGTGAACAAACACCTCGTTTTATTTTTTGCTATTAACTAAACAATGGTATTGCAGTTTTGCAGATTGGTTTAACTTTAATGCGATTAATGAGATAGTGGTTACTTTTTACTGTTACTTCATTAAACTGTCAAACACCAAGCGGTCACCGGTGACCGCAACCTATTGTTCTATAATTGTGTCTACAAAACCGGTACTCGACGAGTTAACTTACTAAGGGCTAGTATATTGAAGACTTAATAATAAAGGGAGCTTGGAAAAAACTGGGATCTCTGTGAAATAATGCAACCTGTAATGAAAATAATAAAACCACATTACCTACGATAAAAATTCTGGCCACATTCATTAACAAAACAAAGCAATTAAAGCCGAATAAAATATAAATAACGATAAGTATCTTATCAACAAAAATAAAAAGATTAGAATAGATGACACAGGATCTCGACGCAGTGAAAAGAATCGTTGCTGCGCGGGAGCGGCTCTGGCCCACATTGTGCGTTCTATTTTTCATTAGTGTTGCTAGCGCCCTCTATAATTAGATCCGCATTGTTTATGGCCGTCGACCGACTAACATCAACCAGTTTCGATTGCCTTTACTTCCTGTATTTGTTTCTATTTATGTTATGAAATTGTGGAATTTCGTATTATTCTGTTTATTTACACGCCTACACAGTTTACAACCACGAATTAAACGAGCCATTTACCTTATGATGATTTCATGAAAAGTTCTTCAATAGATCGTAAATTAAATTAACTAAAATCGCGTGTTCTCACGTGAATATACTGAGAAAAGCTCTACTAGTTTCGAACCACAGAGGGGTTCTTCCTCATGAGCAGCGTGCGCGGTCGCGGCGACGTCGCGCAGCTCGTAAATTGTTTTTCCTTGTTTTTATGCATCAAACCTTTGTTATTAATTATGATTATGAACACATTCGCGAAGTAAATTCTCCTTAACTGGCTTTTTCAATGAGTGCTGGTGATTAAATGTGAGTAATCAGAACTAGCACAATAATAAACAAACAGGTCTATTTAAAGTAAAACTAACTACCTACCTATACGAAATAAACAACACATTTCGTCACAAGGGTAACCCAACCATTT